TAATTTAGCTTCTCGAGGATGGAAACAATGGAGACTGTAGTGAGGAGAAAGGTGTGTGTTATTTTGCTGTTGTTATACACTAGATTGTTATTTGTTATCTTAGCTACTTTCTTATTACTAGGACAAAGTATCAAGCACCCAGAATTGAAAAAATTTATTTTGGCTCACAGTTTGTTGAGGTTTTAGTCTGTAGTCAGCTGGCTACAAGACAGGTGTCACAGCAGAGGGGCATCACAGAGGAAAAACAGTCCACTGCAGCGTAGGCAGGAATCCGGGAGCCATCAAAGGTCCATCAAGGAGATATATGTGTATATCCTTCAGGCCACACCTATAGTGTGACCCACCTCTTCCCACCAGAATTTACCTCTCAAGCTCACACCCAGCTATAAACCCATCAGTGGACTAATTATTATCACACATCCTTGATCTCTTCACCTCTGGAAAGCCCCATATATAAGTGCATAAAGCTTTGGGGGGAGTTCAGATATAAACTATAACAGTTGTGAAATGTGGGCTTGGGCAGATCTAAAAAGGCCATCCAAAAAAGATATCAAACTTACAATGTATATCTTCAGAAAGATTCTAAGGCTCACCAAACTTAGCCATCTTTCCAAACAAGGAATCCCTGTTCCCCTTCTTAGATCTAAATTGCATTGTGAAAAATTTGAAAAGAATGCAATTAAGTGACCCATAATTGCATGATTCTGAGTGAGCAATTTTCATATTTCAAAATATTTTATACTTTTTCTAAAGTACTTATATTATTGTTATAATTGTAATATACATAGTGTGGTCATGTTATTTGATTACAATGTTAACATTGTTACATCATGTATATAGTCATGAAATACTTGCAATTTTTTAAACAAATGATCATATCATAATTTTTGTTATTATATATTGCTCAGAATAGAACATATTGGGCCAGGGATGTAGCTCAACAGTGCAGTGCCTTCCTGGCAAGTACAAGGTCTTGAGTTTAATCTCTGGTACCAAAAAAGAAAAAAAAAACATGAAAGAAAAGAAAATAGAGCATTTGCAAGCATGTATGGAAATTTCACAGTTAAACTCATGTTGCAAACTTAATGTGCACTAGTAATTACAATAAAATGCCTTTCTTTTTATAGAATAATTTTAAATCATTCAATGTGTTTATCACATTTTCTAAGTTTTAGAGTCATTCTATGAAATCATATCACAAGGACTGTCAAATTGCCAAATTGTTTTCCACCAAATATACAGCACTTAACAATGTCATTAATAATATCAAATAACAAGAATTTGCAATTCTCTCAACTGTAAGTGAAATAAATATGCATAAGTATTTATTTTCATTACTAAAATATTTGGATTTATTTTGTTATTATTATTTTGTACTGGTCTCGCTTTCTCCATATTTTTTCATGCTTCCTCCTTTTTTTTCTTTTAAATTAACTTTTTAATTCTATAATTTTCATTGTTGCTTTTTAAAAATATTCTTGAAATTTTTGTCACCTACATTCTAAATGTAAGAGTATAACTAAGCCAAAATGTATAAACTGATTAATGTCACTTTACTCTTACAAAACAATACAAAAAATCAAGCATATAAACTCCCATTAACTTCCTCTTGATTTATAGAGCACCATCATGCACCATTTTAATTTCATTCTGGTTGTTAAAATCCAATAATTTATTATTATTTTTAGGTATTCAATGCTTTATCAATTTCATTTCTATTCTCTCTTGAATCTCAAATTTTCTTTCTGTGTCTAAATTTCCTTTTCCTTAGATATATCCTTTAGAAGTTGTGATGCTGAGGTTTTCAGTATAAACACTTTCAGTTTTCATTTTCTTGAGATATCTTTGTTTTGTCTTTTGAGTTCCCCTTCCCATCTTTACAAAGTCTATCTCCCTGTTTCCTATCATTTATCTTGTCTTTCGCTCTTTACAATGTGTACTTGGGATTTCTCATATGAGAGAACATGGACTATTTAACCTCTGTGTATGATTTATTTCCCTTAGCATTATGGTTTCAAGGGACAATCATTTTCCTATAAATGACTCAAATTTATCCTTCTTTATAGTAGAGAGTACTACTATAAAGTACTACTATAGTAGAGAGTATTACTATAGTAGAGAGTATTCAAAATGACTCAAGTTTATTCTTCTTTATGGCAGAGTAGTACTCCATTGTGTATAAATACCACATTTTCTTTATCCATTCATTTGTTTATGGACTGCAATATGTATAAATACCAATTTTCTATTATAAATATATTAATTAAGCATAACTAATATATACTAATAAAAATAAATATGTCTTCCTCTGAAGATTGCATGTTCTTTCCAAAGCACATTCAAAATAAGAGAGAAAAATATTTAAATTTTAAAGGCTTTACTTTATTCAAAAGTAGAACCATTTGTATAATGAATTTAATTACCTAGGTTTGAATACTGCACTGAGGAACCTTTAGGAAATGAAGGGTCAATGACATTCACAAGCAGTGATTGCTAGAATCACACTGAGGTATTGCTAATAGGGATATTACAGATTCACATGGATAAAATGATCCAACTCTTCAAGAGATGGAACTGTTAACTAAGAATATGAGAGTATACCAGATCTGGATATATCTCAAAACATTTTGCTTCATGTGATGTTTCAAGAACCCTGTTTAAAACTTCATAGTTCTGAGATTTTTGTTCTGTGTTTCATTTCAGAACAAAAATCAAATCGACATCATTATATTTATATTTCTGCTCCTTGTTCACTTTTTCCAAAAAATGAATATTCATTTTAAATAATTTAAGAATGTGTTATTAAATCATTTCTTCATTGTTAAATGAACAACAGATTTTCTAGTTAGGTTTATAAGAAGCAGAGTCATAGACCACTATACATATTTGCCCAAGGGAATAATGTGTATACATATTATATATTGTGATGGCTTAATGATTTTTTAAAAAGTTTTACAATGTGTGAAAGCTGTAGATATTTGGGAGAAACTGTGCTTTGAATTTTGCACTTGGACTTTTCCTGGCTAGTGACAGTGGTGTGAGTTCCCCCTTGATGTTTAGGAAGCCACAGTGCCCAGGTAGACACACAGCTGTGAAGAATTAAACTCATTCTCTACAGTTCTGTGTGTTGCTAAGCTATGCCATTTGGGAGATTAGGTTATTACATGCATGTTGAACTCATATTTTCAAGTGGTTTTATTGGGATATTATAGTATCATAAGGTAGGGAAGATCTCCACTTGTGATATATTAGCATAATACCTTTTACATCATAATGTGTGTGTGTGTGTGTGTGTGTGTGCATGTGTACAGAATAATGTTCCTTTAAGCTCCCTAGTGACGTGAAGCTGGGGTTCTTATGTTCTAGCCTATAGAAGCAACAAGCTTGGTCCCATTGGTGTGTGAGTGACCTCACTGCAGTCTGTCACCCTCCACCTTTTAAGAGAACTGCATGAACTAGATGATGATCAAGCAGGTCACTTTTCTCTCCCCACAGCATCCACCCCAATAGACATTCCCACTTAGCATGAAGAAAAAATTACCATAGTGGCTCACAAGTCCTTCCATTACCAGTGTGTGCCATCCTTTCGTGCTTTTCAGGGGACACAGCATGGAGTCCCTGGAACACAACTGGCTCCCTCACATTTCTGGGCTTTTTGCTTGCTGTGAGCTGTGCATGGCTTTTCCCACATCCTGATACATTTTTTTTTTAATGTTTGCATGCTCAGCTCAAGCATCTACATGCTAGGAAGTTATTTGTGAATCTATCATGATTTTTGTTTTATTTTTCCTTCCCTAGGAGATGTTAGGTGTTTTTTCTTAGCACTCTCATAATCTATAAATACCTCAATTAATATACTTTCCGTATTGCACTGGAATTATATGTTTCTATGTCTTTATCCTAGTGCGATCCTTTTTACAACCTTAGCATCTACCACTTTGCTTTATAAGTTTTGGTTGAGAAATGAATGACTACCTACTCACAAAAACTAGGAATGAAAGTTTGAGCCATGACATAGTAAAAGTACAAAATATCCTCTGCTAGAACTTCACCAAGCCCAAACTACAAATAGCAGTGCAAATGCTTTTAGCTTCCATCTCCCATTTCTCCCTTTCTTGGATTACTTGGTGAAGATAATTTCTCTTTTCTTTCATAAGCTCATCATCTACTTCATCAAAGCCTATAAGAATTGGAAAAAAGTTTATGGCAGAAAATTGAGTCTTTTGTGATTGAGACATGGATTTTATCATTATATGTACTTGTTCTTGAGATATAAAAAGATATTTTGGAATCACTGCAGTTTCAAAAATTTAATAATACATTTATATGACGTATTAAAAATCATGCTACAATATGCATTGAGTGACGCTAACATAAAGATGACCAAGAATTGTGGCATTTTATCAATTTGATTGGTGGCCAAATGAGTCATTGAATAACACCTTATCTAAAACATAGTTTCAATGTTTTAACTTCAGTTTTCCTGTATGGATCTATAGGCTGGCCCTATTTACCTAACTACCTGTCATTTATATTCTTGTGGTAGGCAGAATGATGGTGCCCAAAGGCACACCCCATGCTCAAATATGTTAAGTTCCATGGAAAAGGAGAACTAGGGTTGTATTAGAAAAAAATGTTACTAGTCAGCTGACTTTAAATTGGAGACTGTAAATCATATTATGTGGATAAGCCTGATGTAAGTACAAGAGTCTTTAAAAGCGAAAGCCAGAAACCAAAGAAGAGAATTAGAGGAGACCCCATGATGGAAACAATGTCTGGAATGTGCTATGCCAAAGGTGAAGGAAGGGGGCACAGACCATAAGGGCAGCTTTAAGGCTGGAAAAAGTAAAAAAAAAAAAAAAAAAAAAAAAAAAAA